CTAGAAAGTAATCTTAATTCCTAGCTATAATCAGAAATACAGTCTTAAGGTTTTTTTCACTATTCTTTGCAAGGAAATCCAGACTTTATATTGATCTCTTCCCCTCCTAGTGTGGTGGTGTTTGGGTTTTCTTGGGGTTTTTGGTTGTTTTGGTTTTTTTTTTTCCCTGTGTTTGGCTTTTGTCGATTTAAGCTTTTATTCAGTAAGTTTTTTAAATAATCTGGGAGGAAAAATAGTGCTGTACTATATAGCCTCCTCTGCAGACCACATTCCTGCTTACAAAACCATCTCTGTGATGCTTCCTTCTTTTGCAAGGGTATATTCTTCTTTAGTGTTCAGCACCTTTCTCTTCTCCCTATATCCTTTTAGTTTTCTGTTGATATTTTAATTATTCAGTGCTTTTGGTTCTTATGTAAAGAGTGTACAGGCAGTTAACAAAGCACAAAATAGTGAAAGAAAAAAATGCATTCTTTGTATTTACAGTAAGTGCTTCCAAACTTCTGTTGAACTTTCAGTGGCACCAATGTATATCTGAATGTGAACAGTATGTGTAGTCATTTAGAATAATTACTATGTGATAGAAGTGGTCTTGTTAATGAACTTGAACTGATTGTCATTATGCTATTAACATTTATTCAGTGGCACAGGTCCAGTTTTATGCAGTTCAATGGACACATTTTTGTTTAAAAAAAATCATGATGGATGGAGCTTCTTAGTTATCATAGCTAATTGTGTTTACTTCCTTCTCAGAAGGTATTTGCTAAATGCTGTATTAATGCATATAGAATTAAAAAGTGAGTGCTTGCATTTACAAATTAGTCAATGTAGACTCTTATCACTAATAGATAAATAAATCCCTGTGTTTGATATGGCTAATGGAGAATGCTATGATAAAACAAGTTATGCAAACTAAATAGTCTCTAAACACCAGTTAATTTCATCAACGCACGTACCACTTCCCACGCTGATTGATGATAGTATGTCTGTATCTTTCAGGTGCTGGGTATGTTGAGTTAAGGATGCCCTTTTCTCTTGTGCATGATAAAAGGCCTGAAGACATGTCAACGTGTTTTCATGGGCTGCAAGACCCTCTGATATAGCTGGTGATTTTAAGAGCCAAAATTGTAAAAATGAGTGTGAGAGGAGCTGTGGTGCTTCCTGCAAAGTGTTACTCTTTAAGGTTGTGTGTCTCTAAGCAAGTAACAGTGCTAGGATCACTGGTCTAAAGCCCTTGCCTAAGGGCAGCTGCCCTGCTATTTCTTCCTCTTTGGGCCCCAGTAATGTTATGTATAATGATACAGGTCACTAATTGATTTTTCTAAGAGGAGGGGGAGTTTAATTCTAGTGGTTTGTATTTCAGTACAGTACAAATTCAAAATGAAATGTTTAATTTTCTTAGCAAATTGTATTACTGTTGTAATACAGTTGTAGCTATTGATTGATTTGGAAATCTGTGTCATCTTCTCTGCTGGATAGGCAAATTCAGATAATAAAAGTATTACAGAAGAAAAAATGTGAAGTGACTTTTTTAAGGCACTTCTTTAAGTAACTGAAAATAAATTAGCAATATATTTCTGTGCTTTTATAGATAGAAAAATTAAACTGAAGGTCACTGTATTAAGCTTGATCAGTTTAGTTTCATACTTCTGAGATCTGTTTTACAGAGCTGTAGAAAGATACATGTGCTCCAAAAATGGATCTCCATATACCTTAGAAAAAGCAGCAGCACAGGCATGTGACTCTTTCTGCTCACAGTGAAGACTGTAGCCATGCAAAATTTGAGATAGCAGACTCCTGAGCATCTTGGGAACACTGTGAGCTCTTTCCTACTAAAAACGGCTCAGAACATCAGCTGACCCATGTCCATGTTTAGGTGGTGTTTATCTCATCTTGCAAGTGTTATAAAATCTTTTTTCTGTGAAGATCTATCTGAAAAGCAGTTGAGTCTTCAATTAAGGAACTTGTATCTCTCACGTAGTAGATGAGAAGTCCTGAAAATCCTCAGACTCTTTAGGGGAGGGGCTGAGGAGGGAGTGGAAGTGGTTGAACAGCAGTTGTCACGTCTTCGGTAAAAACTAAGCAGAGCTGGAAAACAGTCTTTCCAGCCTCTAGGAAGGAGATGCTGGTGTAAGTTTACACTTAAGTGTGTGCAGTTCAGGTGGTTTTGTTGTTCACCCATGGAACAAACTTCTCTGGAAATCTTGAATCACAATAGTTACCTCCTAAAAAACAGCTTAAAAAATTTACAGTTTGAAGGTGGTTTGTTCATAGGAATGCTTCTCCAAAACATCCAGTGTAAGTGTTGCTATTCTTGTAGTGATACAAGGACAAGGCATAGTCATACCAGCAACCACCTACAGGTGCCCTAGAAATACACTGATGGAATTCAGTACATGATAACATGGGTTTCTGTGTTGCTCATGGATTAGGGTGGATTTTTTTTTCTATTTTAATAACATGCAATTAAAAAGGTTATCCAGAAGGTTCTTCAAAGCAGCCTAACAATAGCAGCTTCTGCAAGTCACTGCCCATAGGAGAATACTCGGATCTTACTTGGAGAGAACATAATATTGTATTAGCTAGTGAGAAAAAAATATACTGTTGTTGTGCCAAATTTCCAAGTTCATTCTTCTCTGCTTAAAAGAAAGTGGAAAAATAGATATCAATCTTTGGCTATAAATCCTGATATTTTCAGGAATACAGAAAATACAGAATATTTTCATTCTGCAATTTCCTGTCGAAATTTAAAAAGATCAAATATGTGTTAACTTTTACCACCCAACACATTTGTAAGTCTTGAAATGATGCTTGCTTTTATTGGTCTCTCCATGTACTCAGCTTCTCTTGAGTTAGGCAGAAGCTCGGTGATCTTGTATAAAGCAGTTAATCCATTGTTGAGAGCTTTTAAAGCTCTCATACTAGAAAACTAGCAGCATTTTATGCAAGAAGTTAGTCTTTAGATCACATCTCCAAAAAATGGAAACTATTTTCAGTGGAGTGTTGCCCACTTACGTGTGTTTATTGAAAGAGCTACCTGAACAGAAGCCAAAATAATCTCTTAAGAACTTGTCTTTAAACAAGCAAATTATGAATAAAATAGCAGTTGACTGAAAAATCTTGACGTAAGAAAGTATCCAAAATTTAAAGTTGTTTGGTTTCATTATCAGACTCTTCAGTGTCTGAAGAGAGACCACTTGAAAGATGAAGCTTCATTTCTGTCTCTTAATTACTGATATTAAAAAATCTAACAGTATTGGTATACAGGGGGTCAGGGTGCTCTTTGCTTGGTATTTCTAATATTGACTCATCAGATATGAGTCATTGTGTGTAGGTTCTTGAGTCCTTCCCCCCCCCTCCACATTTTGATACTAGTAGTAGTTTAGTTTAATGAATTTTTAAGGCAGTTTTTCATCACAAGAGCTCCTGCATGGGCGGCTGGTACTGTTGTTCCACAGGCTACTTGAGGCAACCTTCAGTTTTGCTCTTCGTTGTTTGTTTGCTGTTTCTAAGGAAAGGAGTATTAGCTGTAAAATGAGTCTGAATGGGTCTTTTATTCTTTTCCTTATGAACATAGTAGTAAAATAACCCTTCAAGTTAATGTTTTGGTTTCATTTTTCTAACCTGGCAATATTTTTGAAGTAGACACATTTTTCAAGTTAACAATGAAAGCAGTGGGTTTGTGTTCATTTTCACTAATCTTCTTACATCCATAAGAACAGCAGACTTTGTTATAACACCAGATTTGCTGTAGTGCTTGGGTCAGCTTCTTGTGTTGAACTAGTTTTTGTACCTTTAGCAGCATAATTCATTTAAAACCATTACGTATTTGGTTTTGGCACTGTGAAAAAAGGCTCTGTGCAATTATAGTATTTGGGGCAGTTTAGAAAATTGGCAGCAACATCATTGCCTGGTGATTAATACTCTCTCTGTACTGACTTTCTGGCTGTCACAATGCCTTTGTGTATGTTTAGACAACAAATTCCTAGATAACAAATTCCCCGTAAGGTAAACTAAGTTTGAAAGCTTGTGGAAGACACCAAGGGGCGACCTCCTGTTTTGCAAAAAGCTGGATTTTTACTAGTACTTTTTCTGACAAAGGTTAAAGGCTAGGTCAAAATGATTTTTCATACTGATCAGTTCATACTGGTAACATGTAACTTTCTCTGGAGAGTTTTCAGGTAGTACTGTGGTTCATATTATAAATATTCAGCAGCAGCTCAGAAAAAGGATAATCCCTTCTGTTGAGAAGCAATATAGAAAGGAGTACTTACAAAGGTGGGCATTTAAAAGGGATAAATGTAAAGTAGAAGTACAGTTCTGTTGAAAACTTGAAGAAACTTCTACATTGTGTGCCAGAGAAGAAACTCGGAAACTGTTAAGTTGTTTTGGATGGTAAAGCTAATAGAGCTAAAGGTTTAGAAGATACTGAGCTTTGGTGGGACTTTAAATACTAAAGTTTAAATAAAGTATGTTGTCATATGAAGCATGGCAGATGCCCCACGTGGAGAAGGGTCAAAGGCAGAGAGATCAAAACAGCATAAAATAACTGTGGTAATAGTGTTTGGAGTACAGTTATAAATGGTGTTTTCATACAGATGTGTCCAGTGCTGTCAATCATTTATTCTCTAGGGAAATAGTGGAACTTCCAAAGAAAAGTTAATGTGTATTAACGTGAGAGTCTTGTAAGAAGCTGAGCACTTGTGAATGCTTTAATTGACATAATAGAATAGCTCCCTGAAATTATGTTTGAGCATAAAGCTTAAAGAATAATACGTAGCTAAGTTATGTCTACTCTCAAGTATTATGTTACCATATGGTGCTTATATACTTGTAATTTGCTAATAGTATGGATTGAATGAGAAAACAGTAACTTACCCCATTTTCCAAAATGCAACTGGATGGTAAATTAGCAGGTAACATATCAGCTCAGGAGCACTGTAAATGAAAATAACTGTATTGAATACTAATCATATATCTAATAGCTTCTTTTGATACTGCAGGAAACAGCATACTCCATTCAGCAGCAGACAGTGTGACAAGTGCAGTACAGAAGGCAAGTCAGGCTTTGAATGAGCGTGGTGAAAGGCTAGGTCGAGCAGAAGAAAAGACAGAGGAGCTGAAAAACAGTGCTCAGCAGTTTGCAGAAACTGCACACAAGGTAAGATTTGGGTGGGATAAGGCTCTCAGTAGCTTAAAGTCGAACTGCTCTGGAAAGAATTGTAGTCTATTACTGTTTACAAACAGCTTATTGTTTTCCTTGATACATTTCCTCACTTGGCAGATTTCTGGTTTGTAACTTCTGTGTGCAGATCTGAGGCTTGCTGCACTTCCGCTTGAATTGAAACTACCTGTCTTCAGTTTCCTGAAGCTTATTTCAGGTCTGTCTTCCCACTACTGTTTGGCACAATTACTCATACTTTGTGCAGCATAGAGTAAAATTGTTGTTAATCCCCTTTGATAAGAAGTGATTATCTGTCTGTTTCTGAAGATGTATCTTTTTATGTCTGGAAATGGGATTTAGAAGGATTTTGAGGAATTATTCTGTCTTAGGAATGTATGGACGTTTTCTGTTCTTGGTGGAAGGTATTACAGTGCCATGCCTGATATATCTGCATATGGATAATTGTGCTGAACTTCCATCTCTGAGGAAATTCGACATCCAAAGCATTTTATTTGATGGCTGTGTAACACATCCACAGCAGATAAAATGTTGTGGTTTTTTAAAAAGAAAAAAAAAAAAATGTAAAAGCTTTCTGAATGTGCTTAACTGTTTTAGCGTGCAGGTTTGATAGTTTTGCTGCTTAACACATGCGTTAGGCTTTATCATGCTTATGCCAAAAAAATGCCGGGCTACTGCATTAACTCTAGAAAATCCTGGATTGGTATCTTGCAGTTCTATACAAACCTGTTTTATGTTGTCTTTAACATGTCACAAAACAAATTACTTTAATATTTACTGGGATAATCATATACTTCATGGTCCATTTAGATTAGCATGGTCCAGCTTAGTGGTTGTGCGTATGGCACGAGCCTGCTCCTGGACTCTTCCATCTAACACTAACACCTTCTCCCACACACACTGATGATAACTATGCCAACTTAGTAAGCCAGCCTTAAGCAGCAGCTGCCACTGCTTCTAGGATAAGGGGCAAAAAGTTTGCTGCTTTATCATAAAGCATAGAGTGCTGCTTGGTAAGGAGTTCAAAAGTGAAACATGCCTCTTGATATATGAGCCAGTATGAATCTTGAACAAGATTTGAATACTGTGTGTTGCTCTTTCATCTTCACATGTGCAGAACAGCAGTTCCACAGACGAAGATGTGCTGTGAGCCAAAAACAAAGCTATTTATCATGTTACCTTAGGAGAATCATACTTTGAAAATCTTATTTTAAAAATCTTAGGATTAATGCATACAGTATTACAATAAAAACATGATCTTTTATAGCTTGTGCTGTACCATATTTAGAAACAAAAGCTTAAAAAAATCCTGAGTTAATAATTCAAAACAAAAGTTGAAGGAAAATGTAGCAGAAAGCAGAGAAGCTAAAATCATCCACAATACAAGGGTTTTGTTGGTTTTTTTTAATCGAATAAAAACTTCTCAATATGGATTTTTTTCATAATCATTTGAGTTTACATATTTCTGTGGCAGTAACTGAGAATATTTTAGTCAGGAAATGTCTAAGCAATGCGAAGCAGAAAAGGGTGATCTCCGTTTGGCCTGTCCTGCGCAGTTTTATGAAACCTTTCTGCCAGTCCAGTTCTAGAGGTTACTACTGTTCTTCAGATGAACATGAGATCGTGTCCTGATGCAGTTATCCCAATTACCAGCTGCCTGAAACAGGAGTGTGACAGTCTTTCAGTGGATTGTAATTAAGGATCTGTAATAAATGCTTCAGGTTTGTCTTTTTAAGAGGAAAATAACATCATTATGTTTCAGGGGAACAAATACTTGTCATTTAACAAACACAAGGCTAATGTGGTAAAATGGGGTTTACAGCTTCTTTTTTTTTTTTTCAATATTTTCTGTATTGGTGCCCCAAGTCTTGAATTGTGTCTTAGAAGTGCAGTGGTCCTGCAATTCCTTTTCCGTTGCCTCACAAAAATGTATGGGGCAGCCACACAGGAATGTATTAGGTTAGAGAAGATTGTTGGTCTATGGTGATGTGCTTTGGTTTGCAACAGGGTTGTTTGGGTTTTAGTGGAGCATTTAGGAATAAGTACAGTATTGTTTATTGTTAATGTTCTTCTGGTTAAGTCTTTGAGGGGCGGCTACTACTGAGACCTTAGATGTTGTTTGTGCAGAAGGGAAAGCTTATTCACTTCAGTGAAACCAGGAAAGTGAGATCCAGCTGAGTGTTGCATAAATGGCAAAATTAGAACTTTCTGACAAAATAGTGAGAGTGAGAAAAGCACCAATTTTAACTTGATAGTATTTGTGTGAGCACTTCGTTCAACAGAGTTCTGATTTTGGTTGCTTTATACTTGCCTTCAATAAACAGCAAATGTACTTTCAGATGTCAGCCTGTAATTATTTTCACCCCTACAGTATCATGACTGGGTACAGATATCTCTCACAAATTAATTTCTATATCTGAACATTACGCAGGCAACAAACAGGAGGAGTTACAAGCCGTTTTGCAGCTGGAAAACTATGATGCAGTTGCAATCACAGAAGCATGGTGGGATGACTTGTACAGCTGTGCAGTGTCAAAGTGCCGCAGTGTATAGCTATAAACTCTTCAAGAGGGATAGGCAAGGAAGGAGAGGCAGAGGGGTAGTTCTGTATGTTAGAGTGTAGTTTGACTGCAGCTGAATGATGGTGACAATAAATTGGACCTTGATGGGTAAGAGTCAGGGGGAAGGCCAAATGAGGCAGATACCATGGTGAGTGTGTTATAGAACTCCTTCAGCATCAAAAGCTTATGCAAATTAAATTTCAGTCATTTGTTGGTCAACTTTTCACTGGTAGTAAATGAGGAAGTTTTAACTATTCTTAGTTCTTGCTAGTTCTGGTTTCTAGGTGAGTTTCTCAGCTTTGTTAGCATGCTGTTATCTGCGGATAATATACAGGGCCTAGAACTTCAGTTATTTGCTTGGTTTGCAGTTTATCTACAATTTTATAAGAGGATTTAAGTCACTTTAGCTCTTTCACCTTCCTTTCATTCACAGTTCTGAATTATTTCAAATAGAAATAATGAGTAATTACCGAGGTAGAAAGGCAATCAGTACTTAATTTTTCATCATCATGTAATGGCAGAGCTGCTGAACTGGTCTAGAATTTCTGATTGTATTTCACAATCCAAATCATGAACTTGAAATGATTGTTCTTTTAGGCATGTCTTTGTTTCTAGTGTCTCCCTGTAGCTCTCCTCGCAGATAGCAAAATAATGGAACATTGGGAAATATGGATATGAAAGCAAATAAATCCTGCCCCCTCAGTGTGGCAAAGAGAGACTTTGCCCATCTGTCACAGTAAAGGGAATGACTGCATGTCTGTGTGCAAAGGAATTACAGATTTCAGGCATCTTTTGGAGAATTTGGTTTACAAACTCTTCTGATCCTAGCTAGCTACATTAGCTTGATATAGCTATTGTTACGTGAGCTCCCTTTAATTAATTTTTTCTTTCTTTTTCAGCTTGCCATGAAGCACAAATGCTGAGAATACTGCCCAAACTTGAAATCTTAACAAGAGAAACTGAAAAGGTTACATCCAGCATCTTTTACAGGAGATCCAGACTTCTGTGTGCTTTTTTCCTTACAGTTCAGTGGAGATGCATTCTTTCAGTTTCTGTGCAGGAAAAAGTGTTGCATTTCTACCTTTTTGACTTTTGTTCCTCTTTTGTAATATTGCTACACAGTCCTGCAGTATTTTCTACCTGTATTTCATTTATTACAGGAGTGAAAGCAAACAGGGGAGCTGGACCAAATGACAAGCTGATCAGGATTAAAATAGTAATATTCTTCCCCAGTTGTACGGAAAATTATTTAACTTTTTGTGGATGTATGTATGGAAGTAAAATCCAAAGAAGGGGTATACTTTTCATTTTATGTAGCATCAGCAGAATGAGAATGTTGGAATTATACACCTGGGGTTGTAAGCAGTGGAGAATGGACTGCTTTGTCCTGAGAAACAGAAAAGCTTGTTTCTTCTACCCGATGTAGGAAGTTTTGCATGTGCCATCACCAGCATTCACAAGTGCATATCTGAATTTCATATCTGCATTATACATATTCCTGTTTTCACTTCTGGATTGATTATTTGAATAGTATAATGAAACCTACAGAATGTATGCTTGAGGTTTCAAAATTGAGGAGAAAAGTAAGATTTACATCAATGTGAACATAGCTGTGCCTCAGACACAATGTAGAATTCCACAATCTGGTAATAACATTTCATCATCTTTTTACCGGTGATTCTGTGAGTAAAGGCCTATGTAAATGAGAATGCAAAGGCGTGGGAAAATGGGAATGCACTAATTTCCAACACTTCAGAAACTTGCCTGATTAGAATGACTTTTGTGTTAGCTAGTGATCTGATTTCTAATACAGAGGCTTTCATAAAGCATGTCTTGGTACATTAATATCATAACTTCTGGTTTGTGTCTGAGTTTTCAATATATATATTGTCACTGGAAGGGTGACTCCTTCATTCTGTATTCATTATATGCAATATATGCACTGTATTCTCTTAAAAAAAAAAGGTTACTCTTTTCCTTCACCACTGTTTTCTTAACATTTTTTTAAGATCATCTAAGACACCTTTAGAGTGAAAAGGGGGAGGATGCTGCACCTTTTTTTTCGTTTCTTTGGCTTTGGGGTTTTTTTAAAACCATTAAGCTGGAAACAGACATCCTAGCAGAGGTTTCAGCCTTCATCTTCAAAAGATGCCTGCTCTCCATTTTTTGTCCTCATCTTACCAGATTGCTGGCATTATATGAATGTACTGTAGTTTTCATTTTCAATGTAGAATAATATTTTTGCATTATAAATGCCACTTGGAAAAGTCTAAAGTCCTCAGAGCAGTGCTTGTACGGGAGATAAAAACTTCTGTTAGTAATTGAGAGTATTTTAGTTATTGCAAGCTGAAGTAACTGAATCTCTTGGAAATACCCTTTTTGTGAAAAGATGCTTGGCTTTACAAAAACATTCTCATTTGAATTAAAGACACTATCTAGTTAACTGATTGCATTCAGACTTTACATCTGGTTTGTTTGGGTTTTTTTCCTGTAATTTGAACTCTTTTGTGTGAAGCTTTTTATTGAATTTCACACTGGGAATTGAGAGAAGGAGTAAATCTGTCATATCTGTAGCACCATAGGATCATTTAGATCTGTTTAGCATCAGCTGTAAAAGTTACTACACCCAGCACTGTCAACTGAAAAAGAATTTGGCCACATCTGTTATAAATCAGAACAGGCTCATTAACAACATGAGTTCTGAATACTCCATTGAGCTACATACAATTAATGTTTGCCCTGGAAAAGTCAGTGGCTTTCTGAGCACTTTTCTAATAACTATGGGTATATCTGAAAATTAACTAGAAAACCAGTCCCTCATTAAATATTAAACTTCTCCTAGAGACAAAATGTTAGGCTATTTTTAAAAAATAGCTGCATTAGAAATGAGTCTGGGAGTCCTCCTTGACCACATAGCTATCTTCTGTCATCATCCTTTCCACTCTTTTCATAACTACATTCTGCTGCTAACCCCACACGTCTTTCTCTTGAGAGAAAGAAGGAATAGGTTTTGAACTGCTGCCATCTAGCTGGTCTTCTAAGCTTCTCAGTAATTTAGAAGAAATGTCTAAAATCCAGATAAACCTGAAAAGAATGAGTTGTCTAAATTCAGGTAAAAAAAGCATAGGTTTTCAGGTGTTTACATGAATATCAGCTGGGCAGGCCAAGGTCACAGTTGCACTGTAAAGTTCCAGACCTTTTGTGAGTTGAACTGTTCTAAAATACTGCTTTAATCTCACTGACAGTTTTTCAGCATTTTTTTTTCTGTTCTCCACTTAAGCGTGTTGTGTTATGTATCATAACTCAGGACTTTAATACAACCATCAAGCCATTTTCTATGGGAATTTTGAGTAACCTAGTGTTATTAAATGAAGGAAAAGCAATTTGTCTGTTTACTTTGTTCTTGCTGTTCATTAAATGACAAGATATGGTAGTTTATAGAAAATAAAATTGAGGTGTGTAAATGTGTATCCAAAATCTTACATCATTGCAGTTTCCTTCTGGAACTGGGCTTCTAGTGTATACAACCTAGTATTATTAGATAGTCATGTATATAACATATACTATAATTCAGGTTAATGTTTCATATGAAAGAATGTATTTGTAAATTGTAACGACATCAGTAGTTTTTAAAGTTCTGCAAAGAATAAAAATATTGTTAGGTTTCACTAGTGTACTGCAAACTCTGTCTTAAAAGGCTACTTTTGTGTCTAGCAAAAGTTGTGCATTATGTGAAATATTAACAAAAACGTGTTCTCTAAAAAGTGATCTTAATGGTAGGTAGGTTTTGCTATATACCAGAATCGTAATACTGGTAATTGTAATACTTGCTGGTATCTGTTGTAACCAGACCCTTGAAAGTTCTCAAAGATGTAGAAATTATTTTGTGCTGTTCTGGGGAAAAAAAAAAGCGGGACCGGCTCTCTTGAGTCATTTCTGGTAACCCTGTTTTTGTCATTAAATACTTTAACTGTGATGAAAAGAAAACTGTCCTTGGATTATTTGAGTTGTCTGTGCAAGATATAAATTGTTTGTAAATGACACTTATATTTCACTCCAGCAGAATTATATCTCACTCTAGCAAAACTGAATAAAAATTAGTTTCCACTCTCATGATGAACACTTTCTATAGAAAGAATACTGTAATTAAAAAAGAAATAATGGAAACTAGTTTGAAGGATTTTGTGTCCAAGGAGATTCTAAACAACAGGTAACTCAGGGTTAAGTTAGCATCCTACCTAAAGGCTGTATAGGTTAAAAAGAACTTCTTTGTTAATTTTCTTTCAGTTTGCTATGAAATACCTATTTGCAAATTATTGCTAATTTCTTTTGGCCATCTAATTTTATTGATATTTTTTTTATCAAAGCAAAATTCATTTTAATTTCTATATGGGAATAAAACTAAAGGTGGAATTCTTCAGAAAAAAAAGACACAGAGAAACAATCCCATGTATTTGACTGAGGGCTACTTGCAGAAAAATCATTGAATATTAACTGGCTGCTGCCATCTCTCTTTTATTCAGGCTTAAATGGGGTCCTAATCCTATTTATAAAATGCTAATCTCAAAAATGTACTGTTGAAAAATACTGTCGCCTTGTTAAATTACTTTGCTTGGTAGGTAAATCTTGCTGTAATGCATGTTATCCATCCGATGTTGAATGCCATTGTCCCAGGTTCAGCAGTAGCAGTCATTTTTCTCCTTCTTAGTAGCTGGTGCAGTGCTGTGTTTTTGACTTTCAGCCTGGGAACAGCACTGATAACACCGATGTTTTTTGGTTGTTGCTCAGTAATGTTTACTCTGACCAAGAACTTCCTGAGTTTCATGCTCTGCCAGGGAGGAGGGAAAGACGAGAGGAAGCAGAGACAGGACACCTGACCCAAACTGACCAAAGACGTATTCCATACCACAGCACATCATGCCCACTATATAAACTGGGGGGCAGTTATCCAGAAGGGCGAGGTCACTGCTCAGGTCGGGCTGGGTATTGGTCGGCAGGTGGTGAGCAGTTGTATTCCCTTCCTTTGTTATTTCCCTTATCATTATTATTATTGGTGGTAGCAGCAGTGGTTTGTGTTACTGTCATGGTTTGAACCCAGCCAGACAGCTTGTTCACTCACTCCCCCCCCTTCTTGCCCTCCCCTATTCCCAAAGGGACGGAGAGGAGAATCGAAAAGAATGCAACTTCCACAGGTTGAGATAAGAACAGTTTAGTAACTAAGTTATAACACAAATCACTACTGCTACCACCAATAATAGTAATGAAAAGGGAAATAACAAGGGAAGAAAATCCAACACCTCATCACCAGGCGACCGATAACTCGCCCCCCCAGCCTGACCCAAGCACCGACCGATACCTCCTCCAACCCTGCAGTCTCCCCGCCCTTCCAGGTAACTCCCAGTTACCTCCTGGGCATGACGTGCTGGGGTATGGAATACCTCTTTGGTCAGTTTGGGTCAGGTGTCCTGTCTCTGCTTCCTCCTGGCTTCCCCTCCTCCCTAGCAGAGCATGAGACTCACAAAGTCCTTGGCCAAACCAAAACATCATTGTTATCAGCTCTGTTCCCAGCCTGAAAGTCAAAACACAGCACTGCACCAGCTACCAAGAAAGAGAAAAACGACTGTTACTGCTAAACCCAGGACCTTAGTTACTGGACGGTTCTCAACCAGTGGGAGTTACATTCTTTTGGTTCTCCTCCCTATCCTGGGAGTGGGGGGAGAAATGGGGGGGGAAGTGAGTGAGCGGCTGCAGGGTTCTGTGTTGATGGCTGGATTTAAACCATGACAGCCATATATAACCAATGCCCAAACTGCATGAAACTTCCTGTAAAAGAAATAGATCTCTGGTGGAACAGAGGCAAAATCAAAGCAGCATTTTGTTGTAGTTCACATGTAACAATTTGGCAGTTCTTTTCCATTTTTTTTTTTTTTGTACATTTATCCTTTAAGATACAAAAAGAAAATGATTGCTTCATTTTCTGAGCATTTTCACAGATCATTTTTACCATGTTGGCTTTTTTTTTCTTGATCATCAGCCTAATCTGTGTATAATTTCTGGTAGAGATGATAACATTTGTTTTGTTTGAATCATGGAAGATACTCAATCTAACAAAATTCTAATGTTTTAAACCATTTCACAGGTCTCTGGTAGCTAAGGTGGTAACTTGCAGAAGTAAGTTCACGCCTATACTGTGTTGAAATTCTGTTGCTGCTAACAATGAGAGGACGAAGAGTTTTCTGCTGTCTTAACTGTTCTTGATAGAACAGAAAGGAAATGTGGTAAAAATCAGATAATGTTTGCAGTTCATAATTCAGCAAAAAGGAAGTCATCAGCATATGCAGCTAACATTGGTCAGCACACTGGTTTGTAGGTGTATCAATGAGTTGGGATTTTTTCTGTTTCAGAAAGGAGATGCAGTAAAGCTTTCTTTAGAGTAACATGAGAAAATCCTTTTTCTGTGAAAAGTTAATTTACTTGTGGGAAATATCAAGATTTTAAGGAGACTCCTTCTTTCCAAAACCTTTACCAGTTTTATTAAATACAGCATCTGGAAACATACATAACATCTGTGAAGTCCTTGGTGGTTTAGGTATGATTTGCACTCTGATAGAAAGCATTTAGCTTTAATAGTAGATTGCTACATTCGTTTGAGGCTTGTAAGAGAGTTTAGCTCAAAAGCATCCCCGTATTGCTCTTTAGGGATAAGGAAGTTTGAGCGCTGTTTTTGCTGCAAATCAACAGTGGCTAAATTCTGACATGAGGGTAGGCAAGATGAGGTAAGGGTTGCAAACTTCTGGGTCACCATGTGAGTAAAGCAGAGGAGGTGGTGAAGTAACTGCCAATGGAGCCACATGATGATGCAGCTCCCAGGGAAGAGGATAGCAATGGTGGAGAGCTTGCCACTTGTGGTTTAACGCCACCTTGCAGTTGAGCCACTGATGCAATGGGGAGACTAATAGGAAATGTAAAAATGAGAGAATTTGTGGGTTGAGTTAAAAACAGTGTAATGGGTAAAACAAAAGCTGTGCATGCATGCAAGCAAAGCGAAACAAGTAATTCATTCACCATTTCCGACTGTTGGGCAGGTGTTCAGACATCTCCAGGGAAGCAGGGCTCCATCACACATAATGGTTAGTTGGGCAGACAAAAGCTGTAACTCTGAATGTCACCCCCTTCCTCCTACCCCCAGATTTATATGCTAATTGTAACACCAAATCATACGGAATATCTCTTTGGTCAGTTGGGGTCAGCCTTCCCACATGCGTCCCCTCCCAACCTCTTGTGCAGCCCCAGCCTACTGCTGGTGGAGTGAGGTGAGAGGCAGAAAAGGCTTTGACCCTATGTAAGCACTGCTCAGCAGTAATGAAAACATCCCTGTACTATCAAAACTGTTTTCACCAGAAATCCAAACCACAGTCCCATAGAAGCTACTATGAAGAAAATGAACTCTATCCCAGCCAAAACCAACACACCATTGGCATTTTCTCACAACTGGGTAGACAGCTGTCTGCATTTCTAGCAGTGAGTACTAGCAAAATTTCAGGCAAGTCCTGAGGGGTTTCAAACCTACATATGAAGAAATGTAAGTACCCTTGTTTTTCATCTTACCTGTGCTTTTCTGTTGCTTCCTCGTGCAGTTGTTCAGCATTATAGATGGCAGTAGCCCAGAGAACATAAAGAAGGACTACAGAGCCCTGGGAGAGGTGGTTAGGGGCTCTGGAGCTCAGGTAGTCTTTTCATCAATTCTCCAGGATAAAGGGGAGGACCTTAAAAAGGTGAAGTGGATTGGCCAGGTTAATGAATGGTTAGACCAGTGGTGCCATAGTCAGGGGTTTGGGTATCTAGAACATGGGACTCAATTTAGTAGGCTAGGTCTACTGGGGGCTGCTGGAGTGACCATTTTGGTAGGAAGCTTGCCAGACTGGTCAAGGAAGCTTTAAACCAGATGTGCTGGGGGAGGGGGGCATCATTCCATCCCAACACACCCAGTCAGTTGCCAGTACCTATAATAAATGCTCGGAGCAATGCAGAGATATTCCAGCTGCTCCAGCCAATGAGCTGGCTTCATTTGGAGCTTGGCTCAGATGCCTCTGTACAAACACTCATGTGCAACAAACAAGAGGAATTAAAGATGTGTGCACGTCTACAGGGGTATGATATAACAGGCATTGCAGAAACATGGTGGGATGGCTCCTATGACTGGAGTGTTGGAATGGAAGGTTACAGACTCCTTAGAAGAGACAGGCCTGGCAGGCGGGGAGGGGGAGTTGCCCTTTATGTTAGGGATAGGCTGGAGAGTATGGAACTCTGTCTGGGGACAGGTGAGCAGCTAACAGAGAATTTGTGGGTCAGGGTTAAAGGGAAACAGTGATGGGAGACATTACTGTGGGGATCTGTTACAGACCACCTGATCAAGAGGAATCTGCGGATGAAACACTCTACAGACAGATAGGAACAGCCTCACTCTCGCAGGCCCTTGTTCTCATGGGTGACTTCAACCACCCTGACATCGGTTGGAATGACAGTACGGCCCAGCACAAGCAATCCAGGAGGTTCCTTGATTGACTGGAAGACAACTTCCTTCTGCAAGTAATAGAGGAACTGACAAGGAGAGGTGCCATGCTTGACCTTGTGCTCCCCAGCAGGGAAGGGCTGGTTGGAAATGTGATGCTCCAGGGCAGTCTTGGTTGTAGTGATCATTTGATGGTCAAATTTGAGATCCTCGGGACAGTGAGAAGAGTGTGCATCAAGCTCACTGCCCTGGACTTCAAGAGAGCAGACTTTGGCCTCTTGAGGGACCTGCTTAGTAAGGTTCCATGGGATATAGCCCTAGAGGGCAGAGGGGCCCGAGACTGTTGGTTGATATTCAAGGATCACCTGCTACAAGCTCAGGAGTGTCGCATCCCAACTAGAAGGAAGTGCAGCAGGAGGGCCAGGAGACCTCCTTGGATGGATAAGGAGCTGCTGAGGAAACTTCAAAGGGAAAA